TGCATTGAAGAATTAGGGTATAGGTCAAAGGTGTGGGGGTGGGATGAGAAGATTCACCAGAGACAGAGCAGGGAGCAGAAAGGCAGATCTACTGAAATACACTGCTGAGGGGAGTAGTAGGGAGACAGAAGTGGTCTCCTGTGCCATGTGGGTCAGCTCCCGCCTTGGGATTGAATTCAGGTCGCAGTGGTGATAGCTCTTAGACAGAACTCTTGTACCACAAGGGAGTACTGGCTCTCATTTTCTTAAGGTGTTTGTCCAAAGTTGGCATGATCTCCAGATTAACCCTTTTGTCATTTATCAGGTTGACAATATCCAGAAATAGTTGTATAATTCCATAAGTTCTAATATGCATTTTAAATATTCAATATACAATTCAACATTATCACACATATGTGACATTCATTTAATCCTGCCCTTTAAAAGAGATCTTAATAAACTCATGAAAGTAATCACATAATATTTAACATTTAACCTCAAAACAAATTCATGCTCATTCCATCATGTGAACTATGATGACTTTTTTTACTTGTTCACACAATCTCTAATGTCTTCATATGACAAAATTCAGCTTTCCCTTGTAATCCAGAAATTCTCAGCGATGAATTTTTGCTTTAGTTAGAACTGAGATTTGTCGAGAAAGAGACTAAGATTGGAAATCATTAAACTAACAGCATGATGACTGGAGAATGTTCAACACTTCAAATGGGCTGAAAGGACATAATAATGGGTCACATATATTTTTTATATTTTCTTCATTTTTGGTGTCTCCATATGACAGTTTAAAAAGAAGAGATTAATTTAATTATATAAATATTGGCTATATCTTATTGAAATGCTTTAAATAAACATTTAAAATATTTTATTGGCTTATTCATATTAGTGGCTTTTATACTCATGGAAGACTCATTGGTCTTCTACTTTATTTATAATAAAATATCCTTTGCAGTTGGTATAAAAATATTTTTTGATTAGTAAGATCATACTTGTAGCTTTGCACTTGTATATACTTGCATATTGTCAGACAGAATCAAAGTAGATTGAGTTTTGAAAAAAAAAAAAGTATTTCTAGTTTTCTTTTGAAACACAAAGACTACTTTCCTGATTTTATGATCTAATAATTATAACATTTAAGTTTTAATTGTGTCCTTTGGATATACAATTTGACTTGTGTTACTGTTACAACTATTCATAATATAGTTATTAATTGTCATAACTTGAGTTTATTATGTGCCAAGTGATATGCTAAGGGAATTATCACAAATTGTCCTACTGAATTATTTTAATGCCATAATGAGGCAGTTACCATTATCCCAATTTTAGGTGAAAATGAGATTCACAAAGGATAGATAATTTCTCCATGAGCTTATAGCTACAACATATTATACTGAGCATTGGGCTACACTATGCCAAATTAAAAAAAAAGAAAATCTACAGAACAGGTTGGATAGGCACATGGAAATCCTTTTGCAGAGATAAATACAGGAAACAAACTTCCAAGTTTTTGTTACTCAACTGCTCATTAGCCATTGGTAAAGTCTTACTTTGGAAGTACATATTTTTATCACTGGGGAGATTTTTCACTTCACTGCAGTTATGTTTTCATGTATATTTGCTGATTTAAATAGCTGACTATGTATGCACCCACATAGCATCCATAGTTGAATATTAAGTTAATGTCTGATATTAGATCTGCCTTCCCATTTGTCCTAATATTTGCATTCACAGTAAACAGAAAGAAAAACAGATAAACAGGAGTCACCTGTTTCAAGGTATTGGGTAACAAGTCATTTGGGGCTATGGTCTTAGAAGATAAATGCATACCTAGAATTTGGAGACACTTGCAGACCTTACTACAGAGCAAGCTGGAGCCCAAGGAAAGAAGTATATCTGAGAGGATGAGGCAGAGATAAGAATTCCAGGTGATGCTGAAGAGGCCAGAACTTGTCAAACAGGATCTCAGAATAAAGGGGGGCAAGGGGCCAACATTTATGGACACACATGAAGGGGAACCTCGGATCAACTTTAAATTACTGCTCATCCAAGAATAGCTGTGTTCATGCATAATTAGTGATCAGTTACTCTGCACAGGGTTTTATCAGGAGGTGTTGGCTGAGAGAGGTTGTGTCAACCCAGAGTTAGTGGCTGTGAGTTACAATAAAGAAATGTTTTCTGCAGGGTTGAGAGAGAAATAGTGAAGCCAAAGGTCTTCCAGGGATGGAAATGGCATGCTGGTCCATCAGTAGTGGAGAAACTTCTCCAAGAAACTCAGAAATTGAGGTGAGATCCTGGAAGAGAAGTTGCTCAATAATAAGGATTATATCCCACAAGAAGGGTCCCCCTGCAAAATGTGCAAAATGGAAATTGTTATGTCCTCAGAAATAATAAACTAAGACTCACAAGAACAGCAGAACCAGCAAGTAATTCATCTGCTAGTTAGGAACTAAAAACCATCTAAAACATATTAAGAAAGATAAGTGTAAGCTGTGCTTCTTATAATACTTCACCCTAATGTGCAAAAAAATAATAAAAAATACTGAATGTGTGAATATGTAAGAAAGTTATGCTAAGAAACAACTAATGTTGGTGAGGATGTGGAGAAAAAGGAACTCTCCTGCACTGCTGGTGGGAATGCAAACTAGTACAACCACTATGGAAAACTGTTTGGAGGTTCCTCAAACTGCTAAACATGGAGCTTCCCTACGACCCAGCAATCCCACTCCTAGGTATCTACCCAAAAGACACAAAAACACTGATTGAAAAAGATACCTGCACCCCCATGTTTATTGCTGCTTTATTTACAATTGGAAAAACATGGAAGCAGCCCAAATGCCCAAAAGTAGATGACTGGATAAAAAAAGATGTGGTACATATATACAATGGAATATTACTCAGCAACCAAAAAAGAGAAACACATGTCTTTTGCAGCAACTTGGATGGAGCTGGAAAAGATCATGCTTAGTGAGATAAGCCAGAAAGAGAAAGAAAAATACCGGATGGTTTCACTCATAGCAGGTGTATAATGGACCAGGAACAAAAATAATGAACAACCATATACCAGAGACATTTTGTGGGGGTGGAATGGGAAATGGGATCAAAAACCGGGAGGGGAGGGAGAGAAATGCACGGGATTATGGTGGTGGCACAGGGGTGATTTGGTGATGGGAGACCCGTGGGGATTACAATCGAGATGGAAAAAAAAAATGTACAAAATGATGTAAAAATAAACTTTTGTAATAAAAAAAAGAAAAGTTGTGCTAAGAAATAGTCGAAATAGATCACTCAATGTCCTGAGTATTATAATTAATTAACAAAACTTTTTAAATATCAGGAATTGAAAGACATATGTCATAATAATGAATGAACATATGAGAACTTTCAATAGAGAATTTAAACTAAGAAATGGGAATTTGTGAACAATTAAGTCCAATATCTCTATGAAAAAAATCATTTAAAAATAATGTAGAGACTATTTACAAATCAGACAATCCATCTAAATAGAGATGGAAAGAGTAAAGTTTCTGTTACAAAAAAAAACAAAGAGAAAAAAGATAGGAAGAAAATTAACATTCTCAGCACAAAATTAAAAAGCAGTTTCACATACAGAGAGCTGGAATCCTATACAGGAAAGAGAAGAAGGAGGAACAGAAAATATTTTTTGAAGAATTTCCTCACCACCCTGCTGAAAAAAATATCAAGTTATAGATACGAGGGGAGTGGATATGTGCCTGATAGGACAAACACAAAAGGAATCAAATCTGGGCTTATCCAAATCACAAAGTTGAAAAAGTAAGACAGATGAATTTCTGCATCTGTTGAAAGAAAAAGAAGCTGATTTGGGGGAGATAGGACTTTATCAAATAAAATGTGCTGATTTTTCCCCAGCATGGCAGGATATCATCAAAGAAAATGCACTGCAAAAGGCATTTAGAAATAAAGGCAGCTCTGGTCAAATAAAAGTGAAGAGAATTAATTTACCTGCAACCTGTTAAGAATGTGCTTCTACAAATGAAAGAGTAGCATTTGACGGAAGCAATAGCAGGGCAAGAGCTGTCCTCCAAAACTTGCTCCCCGAAACTCACAATGCACTGCGGCAAGGTTCGTGGAATTCTGGGACTGCTTTTGTGCCGCAGTTACAGAATGAAGTTGTGACTGTGATTGTATCTGTACCTACAGGAAAAAATAATTGCCAAATCTTGTCATAGAGAATAAGAAGCAGACACCCTGATAAGACGCATCATGACAAAGGCCATTTGACACAGCACACATTTGTGGACGAACATACCCAGGGTTTGAATAAAAAGAAGCACTTGGGGCTGTTCCTTGGTCCAGTGAAAGACTGGGGGTGTAGGAAAGTTCAGTCACCGAAGTGCCAGCCCCTGCCTATCCATCTGCCAGGGCAGAAGAATTGCACGTGGCTCACTGCTGGCCTCCAATGGGAGACTCCAGATTTGGTAGAAACAGTAAGAGCTGATTGATTGTATTAGGTTTTCCAATGGACGTCAAGGCAAATTGAATTTTGAATTATATTCGCCATTTCGCAAGCAGAGTGACAACACAGAGCAGGGTGATCCTGTGTCCGGCTTCTATGGGGCTGATTTCCGTAAGGCCTACGTTCCGAAAAAGGTCTTTGACAGGGTGGAGATTTGTTACCACTTGGGTCTGGTTATTAGGGACTTGGGAATAAACTACCCAGAAGGGCCTGCTGATAAATTGGAACTCTGACTTTTTCATCCCTTATTTTCTCTTTCCTTTCTCTTTGCACATCTGTGGCACTGGAGTCAGGCCCAGAGGAAGAGCACACAGTGGAGATAAAGAGCTGAGTGCCAAGAAAACCGAATCTGCGGGTCAGCTGGGATGCAGATGAACATCTGTGCCGAGAAAAGGAAGCCAAGGACCATTTCTTCCACGCTGAAATAACCATACAGAATTCTACCTCCAGAAAAGCTCTCTCTCTCTCTCTCTCTCGCCATGAATTTTTCTCTTAAAAATGTCACCAACCCTCCCCCACACCCAAAAATATTGCTTTCACGGAAATCAGTCACGTTGAAAGGTGTTGGGCTCTCTCCTGCCAGGAGTGTTTGTTTCTTGTTTCAGTTTTTCGATCCAAAGGCCCAAGCAAACCCTGTGTTTTGCATCCTTATGAAACATTGGGTTTCACTGATCAGAAGTTGAAGCTGACAGTCAGGTTTTGCAATGACAGGTACACAATAAAGAAATATGTCCTCTTATTCCTTTCTAGGCCAGATTATTTCACAACAATTATCTGAAAATCTCCAACGCTCTCTGTGCTCAAAACCAATTGTCTTTATTTTAATAATTAAGTTGACGTGGCAGTGGGTGACAGCTGCAGTTGGATTCCACGGCGAAGCCAGCCCGGCTTTCACTGTCGCCATGGAGTCACCCTGGCTGGGTGTCAGAATATTTAAGCCATTGAATGTAACCAAATTTGTAGTCAGGCAGGGCGCACATTTCCAAGCAAACACACTTTGTGTGTGTGTGTCACACCACACACTTTCTCACCCAATCCCAACGGCATCAGCAAGATCTGCTGTGCCCACAGCGACAAGATACCAGCTAGATGGAAAGGACATTTCTTAGGAAGCAGTTTTGTTCCCATCTAGTTCCCTGAAGCCCAAATGAGGCCAACATGGTAAGTTTTTTTGGCTTTGCAATCCATATGGTCTCAGGCACAGTTATTCAACTCTGCCCTTAAAGCGTGAAAGCATCACAGACAATACGTCAACAAACAGGCGTAGCTCTGGTCCAATAAAACTGTATTTACAAAAACAGGCAGCAGGAAGATCTGGGTCCATGGACTGCATCAAGCAGTCATCGGCCTGTTTTATTTATAACAAAACACAGACCACTTTCATTTAAATTCTTAATCCCTCTCTGACTATTGAAATGATGAAATATTAGAAGTGGGGAGAGAGAGACTGGGCTTCAAAAGTCAAACTTTGCAGGGTGATTGGGCTCCAGGGCAATCCAACTTGTATTTTCCATGGACTCTCCAGGAGATACCTGTGCCCACGGTTATCCATGTAACAGATGACCTCCCTGTAGTTGATCTCATTCGATTCTTGTGACAAACTTGTGATTTTTTTTCAGTGTCTCACCCATGTCATCAATGCTGAGAGCAAATGTAGAATCAGGGTTTTCAACTTGCCTTTTGGTACCAGAGCTTTTATTTTTGGGCAGCAAGCCATTCCATTTGGGACCTGATTTTTGGGGTGGTGATTGTGATGGCCTAGAAGTGGTCCTAATTCAGCTCTTGATAGGCAATTACTGTTAGAAGTGAAAAAGAAAGTAAATATTTTCTATACTATTAAATTAATGGGGACAGCAAGAATGAATAATTTAAGGAAAAACAGAAACATGCCTCAAATTCTCATTTTTTCCCTTTAATAACAGTATTTCTCTGCCTAAATTATAGAGGTAATTGCCTCCATGATCCATTTGGCTTCCCCATGGAGACAACACCTTAATAGTCTTTTATGCAGGCCCCTGCAACTTCAAAAAGAGACTCAAAATGATTCACTCGTGGCCAGCTGGCATTAGAGCAATCTGTTATGTAGGCTGTTGGCTTCTGTACAATTTCACTGTTACAACTTTTATTCCACAAAAAGCTAAAAGAAGAGATAAACTGCAGCATTAAGATTTTTTGATACAGACATTGAGCCATCAGCACAGGAAGTCATGTTCATGGATTATGTCTTTAACTCTCCTGTCTGCCCAAGAGCTAACTGACTTACAATATTACGCTCTGACTTTCATCTCTGTGGATGGATTTTCTCCAACAAGAGCACAATGTTTTGGAGAAACTGTCTGAAATCTCTTTACCACATTCGTCTAAGATCACAGGGTTTACAATTTCCATTCTTCAGTTTCTTTTTCTTAAATGGCTCTTTTAGAGAAAACCAAGTCAAATGATTGCATGGTTGTATGTATATGTAAAATCTGAGAATGTTGGCTATTTCTAAAGGCTTTGGTGATACTGAAATTACATAAATATTAAGATTATAGAGCTTCTTGTTAACAGAAAGTTAGATGAAATTGACTTGATTGGGAAAGTCTAGGCATATAGGAGCACTGACCTTCACACTACAGAGATCATATTGCTGAAATCCAAGATGAAAAACAATCTGACACATATAGATATATCTTTTCCTGTTCAAACTGATGTAAAGGGAGAGAAGACAGACTCGGGAATCCAACTGATGGTTTACCGCGCGGCACTAAATTTCCTGGGGTGCCTAAGATCCCATCGCTTGACTATAAAAATTGATATGCTACAAGGAGACAATTTTATTTTCTTAACCTATTTAAAAACAGATGGTGGGACATAAACTACAATCACTGACCATATCACCTATTGAGATGAGATATGAATTGCTTTCCTAGTCTTTAAAAGTCGTGTCTCCAGGCCCTGCTTGGTGGTGCAACAGGTTAAAGCACAGCACTAAGAAGCTAAAGTCACTTCAGCATGAGTTCGATCCCCACCCCAGAGGTGACCCACATGGTGCGGTAGGCTTCTCCTACCCCCCTGCTGCTCTCCTCAGCAGTGTACTTTATCAGTCGGCCTGTTCTGCTCCCCGCTCTGTCTCTGGCGAATCCTCTCACTGCACCTTTGCCCTGTACCCCAGTTCTGTGTGCATAAATAAATAAACAAATCTTTAAAAAAACAAAAGCCATGTCTCCTGTTTTGTAGCATTTTATTTGCTATCAAAAACTAGTGGAAATGGTGCCTGGGAAATAGTTCTACTTTGGTTTTCCCTCCGTTTATCTGTTGGACTCATCAGCAAGATGCCAAAAGTATCATTGTCATTGCAGAGTAAATCCTAAAAGGGGATTTCTGAGGCTCTCTAAATTATTTTAAAAATCTGCAGTCGATAGGCAGACGAGTCAGTATTAGACTAGTCACTCCTGGCAAGGACCATAAAATCGTTATGTGAAAAAATCAACATAGGTCCCCACTGGATGGATATGGCCAGGCCCAATAGACACAGGGCGTGTTGAGAAATTTCTTTAACAAAAGGCTGTCAGATATGATTTACTGAGTTGGCTTCCATCAGGCAAGCCTCACTGAGCATTCTGAATCCAAGTTTTCCACACTGGCAGACTTTTCCATAATCCAACAAAGACATAGAGTTATAGGCAGTTCATAAAAGTGATGTCTTTTGTTTCGTTCTAACAGGGGCTCTCAACGGGGGGGGGGGAGATCCAATGAAGTGCAAAATATAATATGAAATCAATTTCCCTTCTCACATGACCCTGAGAATAAGAAAAGATTCTTGTTTTCCTAGGGCTGCTAAAAATCCAAATGTCTTCCGGGTGATTGGAAAAGAAGACCAAGAGAATTTAAGAATATTTTCAGCTTAATTAGTTTGGGCACTTCATCGAGAGACAGATTTAGTGCATGTTTCATCTGTTTAAATGATCACAGGAGTCTGAGTGAGATCGCTTTTCCAGATAGAGGGTAAAGTAGTTGAGGAGAGGGGTTATTCTTAATGAGATCCACTTTCAGAAAGAAATTTGTATGGGTGGCTGAAGAGAGGCAATGCCAAATTATGACCCAGGACCAATTCCAGCCACTTAGAATCATTTTCACACCCAGTGATACAACTACTTGACGGCTTCACAGAAAAAAAAAAAATATATATATATATATATGTATATATATGACAAACATTTTATACTGAACTGAGTCTTTTCTAAACTATCTGTGTCTGGCTATGAGGTTCTGTTTCATGTGTGTAACTATGGTGGTGTTTGAAAAGAGATAACATGTAAAGCATTTGATTGCTTTCGTTAACAAATCACCCAACTGTGGAGGGGTTACTTGCAAGGACATGGTCACCACATTAACATTAGAGTTGTCTTTGTATATATGATCCAGAGCCTTCCACGTACACTGTATCTTCTAGAACTTCTATAATGTTTTTCTAGTTCTGTGACTCCAAATGTATATTCCTGCTCGGGCTTTCTCCTAGAGCTCTAATTCCTTCTAGAAATGTCTATTTCTTCTAGAAAATTTTATTTACAAGTTGTAATTTGTCTATATCAGTCCATCTGCACTTGTTTGTGATTCTAGGTATATTTTCCTCAGTGATAATTTATTCAATCATAGAATATCTTCCATTTTATTATAACTTTTGCTATGATGGAGAATCCTTAAAATTGCAAGACAGACTATCAAATTGAGCACCCCATGAAACAGATGTCAGAATGGAATTAGATATGAAAGATAGTAGTCGAGAAACAACAAGTGTTGGCAAGGATCTGGACAAGAGAGCACTTGTTAGTGGGAGGGTAATTGGGTACAAAACAGTATGGAACTTCCTTAAATAATGAACCATATAAATACCACATGATCTAGCTATTCCATTTCTGGAGTTCTGAAACACTCAAAGAAAAAGATGTATGCACCCCTGTGTTCATTGTAACATGACCCACAGTACCTAAGATATGGAGACACTCCAAGCACTGAGAAACAGGTGAACAGATAAAGATATGACCTATATACAAAAGGGAATGTTACTCAGATTTATATATTGTAAAAGGATGAAATCTTGTCATTGACAACAACATAAGTGCACTCTAAAGATAATTATGCTCAGTGAAAGAAATCAGAGACACAAACACCATATGAGTTCACTCTTATTTAGAATATAAAGAAACAAACAAACAAAAAAAAAAACAAAATAAGAATGATCTTTTGGCTATAAAGATCAGACAAATGTTGACCAGATGACAAGGACTCTATGAAACAAGTCACAGAGTCTATTGTGGGGTGCCGAGTGGAACTTAGACCTTTGGAGTGATGATGTAGCCTCTATAACTGTCCAGTTATAATGCTGGGCACCAGAAACATAATTTTATAAACCAATTGCCTCAATAAAAATTTATTTAAAAAAGATCTGTTGGGTCCGCCCTGGTGGAGCAACAGGTTAAAGCATGGCATTGCAAGCTAGACGTAGCCTCTTTAGTGCGAGTTAGCTCCTCCACCCCGAAGGTGACCCACATGATGTAGCAGACCTCTCCTGACCTGCCCACTTCTCCCTTCAGCAATGTACTGCGTCACTCTGCCTGTTCTGCTCCCCACTCTGTCTCTGGTGAATCCTCTCACCACCCCTGCAGCTCTGACATATACCCCAGTTCAGTAGGCATAAATAAATAAATCTTAAAAAAAAAAAAAAAAAGAAAATCTGTTGGAGAGACACATTTGAGTGATAAAATGGAGAAAAAGAGGAGTCATCAGATCTAGGTCTGACATCTGTGAGAGGAGAAAAGGAAGGAAGGAAGGAAGTTAGGATAGGAGGAACTCCAGGCTTCCTCCCAAAGGAAGATCACTCAAAAGGAAAGTTCTGTATCAAAGGAACAGCTGAATCTCACACCCTGACTGTGCTCAGGGATAAACCCAGAGGGAGTGCGACCAGCTTCCCCCAAGATGTGGCAGCTGGAACTCATCTACCACTGCATTTCTCCAGAGATTTTCTCCTGAACAACCATCTTAGCCTCATATGCCCCTGGTTGCCACAACTTGGAAATCTCATTTGTATAATAATATAGGATATTCGTATAAGCATGAAAAAAGTGCACGTGTAATCATACTGCAAGTATGATTCCAACACATTCGATTCTGACATAGATAACATGGACACCAACTACTCAAGACTAATTCATGAGAAAACCTAAATGTAAAATCATACCTGTTAATTATTTGTTTTTCTTAATATAGGAAAGAATGTTAAATTCAACTTTAGCAGTAATTGTCCTTGGATCATCTCCAAGAATACTTAAGTTCATTGGGGTCAGACTTTCCCAAATGCTAGTATAAGTTACAACTATCATTTAAACAATTTAAAGGATCACTCATGATTAAAAAAAAAAAATGATGACTTACTATGTGTCAATGACGCCTGTTAGGTGTGCTTTGCAAGAGGAAAAATTCAGAACCAAGTGTAAAGAAATGTGGCTTTACCATCATTATATTCCTCTTCTACATGTTGATCTTTTAGCTGTCTGTATCTTGGGTCTGATTCCAACTGCTAAGCATGCACGAGAAATACGCTCATCAGAGTGAACTTCTCCAAATATCTCCTTTCTCATAATCTACAATTCCATCTGCTGTTCTATTCATTAGCTCTTTCTCTTCTACGATCTAGGTGAATGGGTTGAAAACATAATACGTATTAAGGAGACATTTGCAAAAAGAGTTGTCTTGTATATCTAGTAACGGACTTCCCTACTTCCAGTCTGTAGAACAGACTGGAAACATGAACTCTGGGTACCAACACTCCCCAGTAGATCCTGGGACCCACAGCTTGAATTTCCTTAGAATAGTCCCCTTGGCTATGTGATGTTTAACTATATCTCCCATCCTCACTTTGCATAAGAGAGAATCTGCTCAGGTCCATTTATCCAGTGCGGTATGGTGTGTGGGAGTGAGCTCCTGTGGAGATGGTCATATTACTGTTTGGTCAACTGGCTCATCATTCTTGTGACTTAGACATTGTTCTATGGACCCATCGTGGTGGCTCTGCTAGTGAAGTTTATTTTCTTGTAACTCGCAAGCATGAGTCAGAGTGGCTTTATACATAAAGAACCTCTTGGGTCTGCTTTCCCTAGAAGAGGGCAATTAGAATTTTACGAACTCTCCAGTACAAGTGTTAATGTTTGATAAAACCTAACTATGTTACTCCTTGCACTTAACTACATTTAACCATTGTTTCAAGGCCTATAACTCAAGGGGTTATGCATCTATTGCAGTCACAGTGCTCTGATTTGCTACAAACCAAGCTACACGCTCTTCTTTTGCAAAAAGCCAGACGTGCGCATCAACCATTGGCTACATGCCCTGGACTAATCATTGCGCTTTTTGTAACTAAAGTGAACTTTATCTTCTGATCTTGTCATGGACTTTAACTTCTGTTTCTAGTTCATGATCATGATTTTTTAATGACAACTTGGCTCTCCATTCAGGTTGCTGTGTGATTACTTAGGACACCAAATTCTTTGCAGCTCATATGTGGCGCAGCACCATAACGAGTCAGGGTGTAAGGCTGTGTCTGCCAGTAACAGGAGTCCAATAAAGTTAATTGTTGCTCCGTTAGGCACTTTGCTAGTGCCCGGAACACATGGAACGGATTACCTTGCACTGCAATGTTGTTAAATAAAATGTGCAAAAAAGAAAATACAATTATTGCTAAAGTAAAAACATACCACAAGGGGTTATTAAAAAAAATCAAGATGTTTTACATTTTAAGGATGTTTCGCTGCTACGTGTGTGTGGTGGAAAATGATCAGCTCCAAGACACTGCAGTGCCCGTGTTAAACTTTTCCTTCTGTTCCATTGTCTTCCAGTTGTCTGAAATAAGTGGAAGCAGGCTTTTGCGTTCTGAAAGAAAATGTATTTTTTTTTAATTAAAGGCATATTTCAACAATGTTGCAATAAACTCTGCTTGAGATATGCATGTTCTATCTAGGAT